CAGTAGCTGTGGATAGTTTGTGAGAGCGTCAGAAATGATATCAGAACACAAATAGCCATTATATATCAAAGCTTGAACCACATGTGTATCATTCAATAGTGCATTAACTAGAAATGGGTTTGTATTCATTCTTACATCCTTGCTAATAGCCTTTGTCTACTCCTGAACGCATCTTTGCTAGGAGCTCTCGATCTTCAGAATATTTTTCGTGTGCGTCTCCTTTTCACTGAACTCTTCATGTAAGCTTGGATCTAAGTTTGTAAGAGTCGATTAGCTTACTTCCGAAAATTTCTCTGTTGGGTTTCGTGCTGGAATTAGCCCGCAAATCATCTTATCGCATCCTCTTAGCTCATGGCGATAACAAGGTCCTTTTTACCGGAGGCTATGGATCTGATCCTGAGTTTTCCATTTAGGCCGAGAAGAATCCGGGATGAAAGTACCCCACTTATAGCAGTATCACCTGATAAGTCTAACTCAATTGATATTCTATGGTCAAAATCCCGCCTATCTCTTCTATTACCCTCTTTCACTTGCCTTATTGTCTCCAGCTTCCGCACTCCAACAGGTCTAATTGAGCTGAGATAGGTATAAAACAGTACATGGAAAGGTCGAGACCCCTTTGAAGCTAATCAAGATTTGTGACACTTTGGTGATAATTTTAACCCAATCAAAGAAATGACAAAAGAAGGTGAATGCTGACAAGAGCAACACAAATTGTCAAGTTCAGAGTTCTGGCTAGCCTATTAATCTTTGTCTAGCCTCGTCAAATGTCACAGTTTTCTTCTGTAAGCTTGTTAGGCCACAAAATAACCAGCTCCACTTCTAATTTTCTACTATTTTCATGTCATGAGGCTCATTTTGTGCCCAGAAAGTTTTAGCCGGGTCCCAGTAAGTTAAGGCTAAAAACTCAAGAAGTCATATGGTTTCTCCTTGCCCCTAATTCTACCTGAATTAGAAATAGAAGAATCTCGTTTCTTTACCCATCCCTCTAAGGCTTCGTTTATTCTTTAAAACACATTGGAGTGAGTGTAGCTGCACATACTGCAATCAATCCTAATTGCAGATAAAATCGATCTTCTCCAGGCTAGTTATGGAGCAACATGATTACTTAACTCCTCCAATGTATTTGGTGAATGACCCCCTGATATCCTTGTGGGATACTTCATGATAATAATTTTGTAAACTTTTCTTCTGGGACATTGCACTTTGCTGAACTATCGTCAAGCTATTTCCTAAGCTCGACTATCTTAGTCATCAGGGTAGACAAATCCACTGATTGTGCTAGAAAGGGAGTGTTGCTCGGTTGGAGTAAATTATATCGCGATCAATCGGTGAGCTGAGATCTAGCGTATTGTCGAAGCATAAGTAGATCAGCCGAATTATTATCACAGAATAGGTATAAAAATTATTGAACACTTGAATAGATGGTTGATTATATTTCAACCAATGATGAGTTATCTGGAGGGTCGATCAGGTCTTGCATATTCCTACTCATACCCTCTTTGGTCTCATTCTCAGGAATGATAATGTCTCGTAGATTTCTATCTTTCTAGTAGCTTCTTGCCTCGTCGTTAGAAGGTTCATACTGATTTTCCAAAGGTTCCAAGTAGTTCCTAGAAGGGTCCTTCTTTATTGCTAGGAGATTCTCACTTCTTTCTGGATGACCCCCGATCATTTTCTGTTTCGTCTCGAGTATTCCATGGAAGGATATTTCTAACGCGCGTACCCTAGAATCTACTCGAATGTTCCCCTCTAGCATGATAGGAAATCGAGTACTGTCTCTGCTAGCCAACGTAGACTACAGGAATCACACGGTTCACTGAGCATCACACCCAGTTATTTCCAGGGTAGGAAAGTCTTGATTCAGTTACCCGAGCAGACCGAAAGACTCCAAAAGCATTGAGGAATTTTCTCAGCTTATCAAAATCTCGCCTGTGGTACGGCGATTGATGACGAAAGGTTGACAGTTAGGTCGTATTATTTGGTCATGTATCTCGACTTTAGAAGCTGCACAGTGAATGACCGAAGTGGTATGCGGCGGCTTTTAGCCAGTAGAAGACTGGGCTGACCTTCTGGCCCAGTCTTGCCTGCCGGTGAAACGCTAAGTAAGTGCTTATATACTGGGGTCATCATATGGCCACTTGCGACGGCACGCTCTCTTTAATGCGATCACTCACCCAGAGTATACGAGTGAGAGTGTATGTGTGTGTTTATTGCGCGACTTGGGTCACAGACTAAACCTTGTACAGTGCTCCTATCCCCTCATGTTACTTGAAAGATCATGGGTATATTACCAGTGATTGATAGCCATTCAGCTCAGAATTACCCGCGGAATTCGGCCACCTTTTCCAGAGGAGATTCTGCCCAAAACAACGTCAAGTGGTAGCAATGGAGAGTGCGCATGAGAAGGAGTCTCAAAGAACCTGCAGCCCCAGCGAGGCGAGGCCTAGACACCGGAACCACATGAGGATTTTCAAACAGTTGCTTGCCTCATTGATTTCTGGCCGTCACCCACAAACAATAGACGACGCTAGGTACATCCGCGAGGGGAAATCTCAGTCATGAGATACAAAGCTTGGGGCTTGGTTTACGGGGAACTGTTACTATAATGGGGCTTCACAACTTGAGGGAGGATAGGAAGCTGGTCGTGGGATGAAAGAGGATAGATTCCACTATCGAGCATGATGGGACTAATGTTACTCGAATGATTCTAAATATTAAAACGTTTGTGGGCGTCAAGACCAAGATTTCAGTAAACCAGCCAGGAGGTCTTCTATTATCGGAGAGTCTACGGCACTCCCCAGGTGCCGTGAATATCATGAATCTGATCCAGAAGAGTCAGCTGACGGTAGATGCGCGGTGCCCGACAAATCTCATACCTGGGATGCCCTGCCACTACGCAACTACGAGCGACGTAACGGAGTTAAGGAGCCACGGCCAAGGAGCGCCTCGTATCAGAAGTATCATGTCATGAGTATTCATCTTTGCTGGAGTGATACATGGTCAGTGGGCGACGCAGCTGAGTCAAGGAATTCCCCGTCGGAGTTAGAGAAGGACTGGCGTGGTCATGTAGAGTGAGGACAAGCGAGGGAAACGTATATATAATAGAGTAAGAACTCTGCAAGTAGATATCATCAATCAACCACTCTAAACTCTCATCTACTATAGTCTCGACTCACCCACAGATAGACCCCAACAGCTGACCAGCTTGATCAACCAATAGTACAGGTATATGTCTATCCACCCTTAACCCAGTTTCAACCCACCAGGACCCTGGACGGCACAAAAGAAGTTGGGCTAGGCTGCCATACAGCAATCACGCTCCGTCAACGCTTTTCTGACATTATAGCGCGATCTCCGGGAAAGAGTTGGAAGATGGCGAGAAAGGCCGAAAGTGAATGCCGTGTATTTTTTGTCATTATATATGTTACTCCTCAGCCACTTAATAAATTCCGTATTTCGAGTTGAAGCGACATTGTTGTGAGGTCCTGGCACGATTTAGGGGTACAAGGCTGAATAGTCAGCCTCGCATAATTTTATCAAAGGCGCATCACAGTTGTAAATAGAGTGGGTAGGAACAAGTGCATCTTTTATCCAAACGTACATCGTCATCTGATCAGATACCGAGATACGGTCTATCCAACACTTCGAGGCAGCCACAAGCCTGCAGCGCCCAGATGGCCGGCCTCCTCGAACGGCTCAAAAGGGACAATATGTCTTCGAATTTGGTCCTCGTGTAGGTATTACGAGAGCTCGGCACCCAGTGGTTTTTGCCATTTTTCCCGGCTGCCATACACCCGCAAACAGCCATGGTTTCGTTGGCTAGAGAGGGGAGATAGTGGAGGGTGAAGGGCTCCTCTAAGTGTATGATAGAATGAGATCTTATGAGGGGCGGTACTATTTAAGGGGAGCTGTACGGGAGGCACAGTATAGAAATCTACCCGCGCACGCAGGTTCCATTGCTACCATTTTTATGTTTGGTAGAAGGCTCCGTAGAAACGTGACTGGATTCTACGAGTAATTACTGTGCTGAATGCTGATCCACAATGAGCATGATATCAAATCTTTTTTCGGAACATAGGAGGGTGAGAGCACTGTGCAGGCAGCTGCCTGTGTCAGAAGAGGCCAGCGTGTTGGGGAGTGCGGGCTCAATGAGCTCAATAAAATCGGACCGCCGGTATCCGACTAGGAAGGGTTCATTCCGAGCCAGCACAACTTTTGGCATAAAGTCACAAGTAAGCAGGGGTTCAATTTACTGACTAGCGAAAATTTGGACGCTCGACTAACCTGTCCATTTCTGCGAACGCTCTCAAGACCAGGGCCAAATTAGTGAGTGTCATCAGTGTTCAACCTCATCGGGACAATGTCTCGCCGATTAAAGAGACAATGGAGTTTCGAGAAATTTTGTAATGATAGCCACAACATCAGAGCTTCAGTCTTAAGCTCGGTTCTCTTAGCGTGGCTGGAAAACGGGCGCTGTTAATCGAAAATTCTTCCCTTCATCCTCACGAACCTGCACACGGGAACCGAATGTGACATTACATGACAATCTATTTAATATTATCTAGGGCCAAAGTAACCTGCGGATGGCTGAGCTAATTGATATTTGACACATTACAACTCGTACGTTAGTTTCTCTACTGTTCGTGCAATGGGTGTCCTCCTCAGACTCTGCCGGTTACACTTTACCTTGTGACTAAATAACCCACGTTGTAATGATTTGGATCTATTTAAGTAAATTCTCCCCCATTCACTTGAAACTCCTGTAAAGGTCGTTGATGACTGGAGCTATGTTCCAGTTGTTTAAGACGAGGCGAGAGCATCAAATTTTACTGATCCGTCAAATAGTTTGAACGTCAATGTCGTCATATTAACGTATGAATCTGAGAATATATATTTTATTGATCACTAATTAAACAGTAGGTATAAACCACAATAATACAGCTGCCGACTTAAAAATAAAACACCATTAATTCTTCGCTAAAGTGATAAGTTCTCTCTTATTTATTAGCTTTTGCCATTGTATTTAGAGCTGATCCATTTTTGAACCACTCAATTTGTGGCTCATTAAATGTATGAGCTAGTTTTATCTCAAAGGACTTTCCATTCTTTGGATGGACCTTTAGAGTTATTGGTTTGCCAACTGATAGTTCTGTGCACATCAAGTCCAACTTATCTTCTGGTTGTATTCTGTCGTAGTCTTCTGGCTCAACAAACGTCAATGGGAGCATACCTTGCTTTTTAAGGTTTGTCTCATGGATGCGCGCAAATGACTTTGTGATGATGGCAAGTCCACCCAAGTGTCTGGGTTCAAGAGCGGCGTGCTCTCTCGAGGACCCTTCACCATAATTCCAATCACCAATGACAACCCAAGGAATGTTTTTCTTCTTGTAGTCTCTAGCCGTTGCCGGAACAGAGCCAAACTCACCGGTGGTGAAGTTCTTAACCTTATTAGCCTCTCCATTCATAGCATTGATTGCACCAATCAACATGTTGTTCGAAATATTATCTAGATGGCCTCTGTACTTCAGCCAAGGGCCTGCCATTGAAATATGATCAGTTGTCGTCTTGCCTTGAGCTTTTATAAGTATCGGGATATCAAGCGCGTCTTTTCCATTCCAGGGTTTGAAAGGATCAAGGATCTGTAATCGATCACTTTCAGGAGAGACTTGTACAGAGACTTCATCGCGCGAAGCTGGTGGTGCCTGATAAGTTTCTTTCCCCGCATCGTATCCTCTGGCTGGTAACCCTTCACCTGTTGGTGGTGATAGCAAGAACTCTTTCCCGTTCTTATCCATCAATTTATCTGTTAGAGGGTTGAAGTGGAGAGATCCAGCGACTGTCATCGCCACGACTAATTCAGGAGATGTGACGAAGGAGTGGGTTGCAGGATTGGCATCGTTACGCCCAGTGAAATTCCGATTGTATGATGAGATGATGGAATTTGGGGTTCCTTTCTTGACGTCCTGACGGTCCCATTGTCCAATGCATGGCTAGTTAATTCTTAACAATATTTCTCACATAAAGGTTAATGTTATACGTACTCCACAGGCATTAGCAAGAACCGTTCCTCCAAACTCCTCAAACGTCTGAAGCTGTCCGTCACGCTCGATAGTAGCACGAATTTGCTCCGAGCCAGGAGTGACAGTAAATAAAGCTTTTGACTTAATCCCATGGTCTAGAGCGTCACGAGCCACTGATGCTGCACGTGACATATCTTCGTACGATGAGTTCGTGCAAGAGCCAATCAGTCCGACCTTTAACTCTTCCGGCCAGTTGTTTGCCTTCACAGCCTCGCTAAATTTGGAGATAGGTGTTGCAAGATCAGGGGTGAATGGTCCATTGATATGCGGCTCCAGTTCGGACAAATTAACCTCAATATATTGATCGTACTCGGCACCCTCATCTGCTTTCAAATCTTTTGCGTATAATCGGGCAAAGTCTCCTATTTTATGACGACTGGTAGCTGCTAGATAATCATACATTCTATCGTTAAATGGAAACAAGGAAGTTGTAGCTCCGATTTCTGCACTTGTAAAGTGTCAGCAATAATTACGGATCAAGAGGTCGAGCCTAGTATTTACCCCATATTACAGATCGTACCCATTCCGGTGGCCGAGATTTGATCAGTGCCTGGTCCGAAGTACTCAACAATAGCACCAGTACCACCCTTGACGGTTAAGATGCCAGCTACCTTTAAAATTATATCTAGAAATAGGTTACGATTTTGAAGTAAAAATAGTTAGCGTGCTTACCTTTAGGAGAGCTCCACCCAGAGAGTTTACCAGTTAGCTTTATACCAATGACTTTGGGAGCCTTGAGCTCCCAAGGAAGGTTGGCCATAACATCAACCGCATCAGCTCCACCTACACCAATCGCACACATACCGAGACCACCTGCATTGGGGGTATGGGAATCAGTCCCTATTAACAAGCCTCCAGGAAATGCGTAATTTTCTAGAAGAATTTGATGAATAATTCCAGAGCCAGGTTTCCAAAAGCCAATGTTGAACTTTGCGCACGAACTTGATAAAAAGTCGTAAACTTCTTTATTGATATTTTGTGCTCTCTCCAGGTCTTTGGGGCCACCAGCTTGTGCTTCTATTAAATGGTCGCAGTGGACCGTAGTGGGGTTCGCAACAGAAGGCATCCCCGCGGACATAAACTGTAAGATGGCCATCTGTGCTGTTGCATCTTGACATGCGACTCTATCGGGCCGTAATTTAAGATAAGAGACGCCGCGCTCGATTTCCTGATTGTGTGGATCGTCAAGATGGGAGTAGACAATCTTTTCTGAGTAAGTTAGAGGGCGGTTTAGTCTCGAGCGAACTATAGCAAGGTTCTCGGCCATTTTCTTGTAGTTGATGAAATTATTGGTTTCTTTGTTATTTTGTAAGACTTTGCCGTCTAACAGAGAGCTCGAAGCTGTCGCCATACGCCGGTTGCAGGGCAGCGCGAGTATTCGTCGCTGAAAGGCCCTGACGGCCGTAGGTGATACTAACATGATGTCGAATACAAGCCAAAATCTTGTAGTTAGGATTTAGAAAGGGATGAGAAGATAGATGTGCCGGAGGTATTGCGCTGGAACTTTCATCGGCCTTATAAACTAAACGTGCTACTGAGAACAAGTTTCAGCTAGGCTCATGAGCCGGCTTCGGCCAATGAGCGAAGGGGCAATTCAATGCGCTGTGATATTATCGTTGGGATGTAATTGGACCGATTATATTACTATACAAGCCTTAAATCCCAGGCCAACTACAGAGACTGATAAATAGCCGCAACTGATATGTGTTAGGTCACGGTTTCCATGAATTCGTTGAAGTATGTGATTCAGCCAAGGTACAATTGATTTTATCTAGAGGCGCCTACAATCAAACTAGAGTCAGATTAATGATTTATTTCTATCTCTATCCTCAATTGTATAATTCATTCACAGGTTATGTGGGACCTTTCTGCCAGCATGCCAAGGATACCTTATCTTCGGGGAGTATACCCCTTCCGATACTCTCACGAGTGAATTTAATCCTTAATTTTACTACTCCTAATTCGCAACCCGATAAATATTTGATTGATGTTTGAGTGGGACGACGTTTGGCCTGCTCCCCCGAGTAAAGTAAGACAACCTCTACGAATGCCAATAGTGCATTGGGATCAATGTCAACGAAATCATACATTAGCTTTTTACTTCTACTTCCTCCTCAGACTCGGGGAAATAACAATAGATTAACCAACGAATAAATATCGAGTTCAGAATCTTTATCTTCGCACACATTCCATTTGCGATGAAAACCCGCGATTTCGGATCCAAATGCGCTCGACCTCACCTTATCCGGTGTTTGTGAACAGGATCACATAGATCTGCTCGAATAAGAAGATTCTTGAATTTCTCTCTTGTAGTCACTTGAGGATTAGAGTTTGCTATCTCGAGGAAGTGAACACACTCGAATGTGATTTGTGCGAATGTGATTTGTGCGAATGAAACAAAGGGTATATCCATCACTGAGGTCATTGATTAGTCTTTTGATATTGGCTGGAAGTCTACAAAGCTTCATCACCCTGGTACAATTCGTTCTTTGGATAACAGATGTCGGGCCTTACGTCCCGATCTACGGATAAATAATTTCCAGCTTTGATTATATGGCTCAATGGCATTGTACAGCTGCCGAGAGTTTCCAAATGAAAAGTGAGTCCAAGTGTTCGGCAGTAACCGTCTTACCCGCTTATTCACATGCATGGATCAATTCCCTGTCCCCATGATCCATCAAAGCACTCCCAAACGGAAAAGAAAAGGAATTAGTTGGCATAAAAGTGCATAGCTGTCGGCAAAATGGTTTCGGGTGCGCAGCGATTTGCGGGATAGATTTCTATGACTTTGGCGCTCCGTTTCGCGATTGGTTAGAAAATGAATACGATGTAATCGTAAGTGAACATATCGGCATTATAGATAGATACCTACTTCATTAAAAATTTCATGACATACAGTCAAGTCATCATCCCTAGGCCTTGCGGCGTAGAGATGTTGGAACATGTCACGCATAAGCCACATCTTGCTTAGACGCTTCATTAATTACGTGTTGTTTAAGGTTAAATGGTATTCGGGGAGTAAGCTTTTTCCACTATTTCTTTGTCTTTGTAGTAGTCATGAGCTCCATGAATTGCGTGAGTAAAGTTAGAGCGTATTGGCGAGCTTGATCGCATGGGGGCGTTGCGCCTCGTTTTGCAAGGTCATCAGCCTAGTGGTTTCCTTTAAGTCCGTAGTGGCCGGGGATCTATATTACTTTGAGCGTGTCGGGATATAGGCGTGATTGTTCTAGCTTGAGCCAAGAAGTGGTGATTGATCGGTGCTCAATAAAGGCAGCGTGTCAAGAGCATATTTGATTTTGCAATGTCGCAGGCCGCCACTTTGAATATGTCCGTCAATAGTCATGGATCGTCGGAATGACGATCGGTTTCAAGGTTAAAACATCTGTTAATGCTGTTCGCGCTTGAGCTTCAAATAGTCTGAGATTTGAGCCCGAGGCAAATTTCTTTTTCTCGAACAGCCTTTTGATCTGGATTGTGTGTTGACCACGGCTGCTCCAGTTGAATTTACAACCTTGTCGACGAGGATTGCACTGCTAATGAGATTGCAAGCAATTTCCTGAGCGTCACCCTGTCGCTCTTGATTGAAAAGACCGAGATTCCTGCCGCAATTTCGCGCAGTGAGAAGGATTAAGTTGGTTTGGTCGTAGTTGGATGGGGATAATCCTCATTGCGCAAGGTGTAACGAGCATCCTAAGAGCGCTACACCTTTAGCTCGGGAAGGAGTAGCGATGCGGATCGAGGCGATAAATCCTGCTTGCGACTTTCTATGCCTTGTGATTAAGGTTAAACTCGGTTGCTCAAGCACCCGTGAGGATGGCCTTTAGGATTGAATTGATTAAGCTTTTCGGACCAAGACTAATTTCCAACTTGCAGCCACATCACAAGCTGCTTCGGAATCTCAATTGTTTAAGACTTGTTGTCGTTGACAGGGAAAGGCACTGTTGACGGTATGAATTCATTGATTTTGTCTACATTATCAAAATTTTTACCAATCAAGAATACGTGAAGAATTCAATTGCCGTTTAGCCTAATCCTTAAAAATACCCGACGTGCTGGTCTCGACGCAAGCCAAACGGAGCGAAAGATAGCTAGATATAATTATTTTGCAGTCGAAGGGGTAGAATTCTTCCAAATCTAGCTTCTCGAGCTCACTACTTGCACAAATGTACGATAAAAAACAGGGGAAATGTAAAGGTTCTACCAACCTGCACTTTTACAAATAGGGGAAATCCAATCCAACGGAGCGCCAAGTTTCCTCAAAGAAGGGTGTAAGTTGTGCCTAGCTTTCAAATGAACGGACTTCTCTTTTCAGCCCAGGCTTTTAGGCTTTGCTGCAAGTCAAGCTCTATGGGATGAAAGCTTGAGCTTAGTATCAGGCGGGATACCGGAAAGAAGATTAGTTGTGATGTTTTTCCTTTCCGCGCGAAAAAGTCAGAACGGCGTCTTGGTGCTGAAAACAGCGGTAGCAATCTACGACGTCGTTATTCTCAACCCGCCGAGCTGTTAGGTTGCCGATACTACGTCCTTCTAATCGGCTTTGTCAAAAGTGCAGGGTAATTGACAGCCTCTACACCCCTTTGGAACTTGATCATGAGTGGGGCCGTCTGCTCTAGGGTTACCACCATGAACTGCAAGACCCTCGCCCCATCGGTATAAATCTATTTCCCCAGGCTTAACCCATGTACTTCATCGCATCAAGTTCGACCGTTCAGAAAACCCCTTCTTTGTTCGCACCCTAGCCCCTGACATCCTTGTCCTCTTAAAAGATAGTTGCCATTTAAGGTCTCAGGTCTATCCTGACCCAATCAATGTAAGGTTGACGGTATCCTTCACTAGGGATTGCAACTCTCTCGATAGAACACGATGCCTACTTTTCCTCGATTAATTCAGGCTCTAATCCACGATTTTTTGCATCATTGGAGTGTTCGCTTGTACCTGGTGAGATCATTGTAGAGATAAATTTTCACAGAGAGTTGAAGATTTTAAGGTGTTTCTGTTGCTTGGTTGCGAATCTCAGACATTCTTAGATCCAACCGTGAACAGCACTTTGACGATGTTGGATTATCCTGAAACTATAATGCGACAGCGACCGTAAAACAGCTTACTCTTGCAGAATACCCACAAGACCAAACTAATGTCACCCTTGCTTATGGCTCAAGAAGGCTTTAGTACCGAAGTTATCGGTAAACGCCCGCTATTACAGAAACTGTATGTTGGAACGTAGTTTGCTTTCCGGATTCTAACCGAGATGGATGCCAGGCATAAGTGTGAAAGAAGTGTGCTGCATATCAAGAGAAACGGTAACTTTTGAAACGTAGCAGATCTGTATGATGCGGGGGGTCGCAGAAATACTCTCTATGATACGGTTAAATTCAGCATCATGTATCTCTGCGGGATTGTCGAGAGCTAATAATTCCCGGGAGATCTCTTGCGTGAAGCATCAGTAGATATCACATCCTATGCTTCCTGAACTATCGATTAGGGTCTAATGTGAGAAGATAAAGGGCCCTAGGATCGGATAAGCAGCTTCCGAGACACTTAAGGCTTTACATCCATAGACGCACCTGCTGGCTAAATCCCAGTTAGCTTTTCTGGGGGGCTGGTTGATCACGGAGTGGTGATCGTGTTCTGGGATAACTCAGGTTAGATACTTTGCTGGATCCAGTAAATACGCTCGGTGTCCGAATGTCTTTGGAGAGAGCGGAGAAGATCTACTGTGGCCAACTGGACTGCTACTTGGCTCTGCACACATTTAGCCACGTTAACGCTGGAGCCTAGCCCATTTCACGGACTAGAGCCGAGATCCACGTCATCTCCGGACTCATTTGAGTTCCTGAAGACTCCATACCTATTAACGATATTCCCTGTAAACCGACAACCTTCACCGCAGAATCAACAAAGCCTAGGTTGAGTGAGAGTAGCTAATAGGTCTTCTGTTTAAGGTGTTGGAGGAGTCCGGCACCCAGCAATTTTGTCTACTTCTTCCGGCAGCCAAGCAACTGCAAACGGGATTTGTTCCGTGGGTTACAGCAGAAGAATTCTGAAGGATTAAACTGATTCTCAAGATAATTAGGCGAACGACGGCTTGGAGGGGATGGTACAGTTGTAAGAGAGCTAGAAAGAGGTCTGGGACAGCATGCTACTCGCGAGGCATGGGTGTCCCAGACCTACAGCAAGAATACTTTTCATCCCCCACATAACCATAGACCGAGGAGATCTTTCTAAACGACTTAAAATATCAGGGCGTCAAAATTCTCATTCGCCGGAGTTCTAGGCTTGCTACTTCGTCGTGCGCGCAGTTGAGTGCACAACTCTTATTTTGAGAGGGCAAGACTGAACACCTGAACGGGGGGGGACAATTCTCAACATCTGTCAGTGGTGTCCCCTACGAACCTCTAGATCTCACTGTTGACTCTTTTT